CCCGGCGGGGAGGGGGCGGCGGCTGCGCCGGTGTGACAGCGGCTTGCGCCGCCCGCTACTCGGAGAGGGGGGAAGAGACACACACGGACCAGGGGGAGGGGCTGGGGCCGGCCTCACGTGACCACACCCTCGCTTCCCTCCGCTCTCGCCTCCATGCTGCCTTGGGGCAAAGGAAGCCGAGCTCGCCGCCATTTTGGGTCGGGGCGGGGCGAGCCGCTCGATGGTCGCTGCCATTTTGGAGCGGGGCAAATGAAGCCGGGCCTGCCGCCATTTTGGATCGGGGCGAGCCGTGGAAGGTCGCCGCCATTTTGGGGCGGGGCAAGGGAAGCCGAATCCGCTGCCATTTTAGGTTAGGGCAGGGCTTTGGTGGAGCTGCAACTTATCTAGCAAGCAAGTGCCTTGTTGCCTCGTGCAAAGGAGGCCCACTGTGTTATAATCATTCATCTTAACATTTCATGAAATTCCATTTCCGTGGATTCTTTTTACTGTATGTGGTCTCCTAAACTGGACATAGTTTAGGGCCTAACCATGTCATCATGGCTGCAACACAATTAAAAACCAGGGGCAGGATAGGATGACTGTGAGTTGCAATGGGTTTTGGTGCTGGCTTTTCTTTGTAGGCTGCTATGTGCCAAGCCTCCCTGGGAACAGGTCTGGATTCGTCTTAGGAAAGGCCACCGCCATGGGGCTGCCCAAAAATGCTGGATTTGTCGGCTGGAGGGAAATTCTTCTCTTCTAATTTTTACCATCGCTGTTCGTAGCAACCATGTATTTCCACAGACCTTGACTGAGATCCAGGGTGGAAGCAGGCAGGGCTGCACCTTGCTTGGACCCAAATCAGGTCCCATTGGGAATGCATGTTATAATCTCATAAAGATCCCCCTCGTCTTACGATTGCATCGAAAAGGACGCAGGCGGGCAAAAGGGGGTGTGGATGCAGCGTGCAAGCCAGCCAACGTGGCGGTGAAGTACAACACGGTTGGCTGTCGCCGTATCGATCCGAGATCTTTTATTAGACTAACTCCAATAGTTGGAAAAATTCTTCTTGGCAAGCTTTTGGGTTAACTCCATTTTTCTTCTTTGGACTTTCTGAATTAAATGATCTCGTGTGTGTACGAGGACTGGAGGATTTGGGAAGAGCGAGGCTCATTTACTAGGGAGCAAATGCATCTCTTTAGCCCGTTACATCTAGTAATGGCCATCTAGTGGCAGCAAAGACCCTGAGCCCTTATCAAAGATGGAGTCCACACATTGCTCAGGGACCCACGGCTGCTTCTTTGCCCTCACCAGAGATGGCCGGCGGGGGCATAATTTTTGCATTAAGGCTTCCCACCCCAAACAAAGATGGCTATCGTGGAGCATTGTTTTTGCATTAGGGCTTCCCACCCCGAACAAAGATGGCTGTCGCGGGGCATAATTTTTTTGCATTAAGGCTTCCCACCCCCAACAAAGATGGCCGGCTCGGGGCCCAGCTTTTGCTTTAGGCTTTTCCTACCCCAAACAAAGATGGCCGACTACCAGGCTTCACTTGCCCTCGCCCAAGACGGCCGCACGGCCTGAGGACCCTCTCTATAGGTAGTCCACGCGGTGCCTGCTTCGAGGTGTGCTCTTTCTCCTCGCGCCTGTCAGAAAGGGTCCGG